TATAGCAATAATGAAACCCACAACCTTCCTCTAGTTCTTAAACGCTTCCTCCCCCCAACTACCATGACCCCAATTCTGCCTTGCAGACCTGGTTAAATCGGTTATTCTTAAGGCTGAAGCTGTTTGAAATTTTCAGTAATTTTCCCATTTGAAAAAAGCGTCTCATCTCCATGCATTTCTTTAAAAAAGATAAATAAAATTTCTCATTGTATCCCTTTATTAACTGTAATAGATAGAAGAAAATGCTTCCCCATCCTGACCAGGTGCAGTATACATATAATTTTGTTTAAAATCCCATAAAAACCCCACAGAGTTTAAGTAACTTGCTCAAAACAAGTTAATCAACCAGATTGATGCCCATGCTCCCTCTACACCACCCTGTAGAAAAACCTATACTTTGACTCTAAACGTTATTGTTAGAGACGCGGCTACGACCTTTTCGTCATTCCTGAGCTTAAGTTCCTACCACATACTTCTTATGGCTTTTGAGAGGTTCCATGGGAAGAGAAAGAGGGTATGAATTCCAGGTTTGTAAATTATCCAGCTTTACTTAAAAATGAAACTAAAGAAACTACATTAAATATTAACTGGGATCAAAACACTCCCACGGGAAGATTATTTTGACCTAAGAATATCAGCAAACCAAAGAAAGGGCTATAAAAGGGAAAATCTGCACTGTTTTAAGGGGGGTACAAAGAAGACAGGGGCAAAGTCTGAGAGCGCTTTCTACACGTTCAATCTTGCTCAGCGTCCCAGGTCCTGTACTTCCAGCCACCCCTCTGAGGTTGTTTGAAAGGTTTAGACAGAGCTTCCCACGGTGCACGTAGGAACAAAGAAAACAAAACAAAAACAAACAGCCACCCTTGAACTTCCTGGGAACCTAAGCACTTGTCAAAAGAGACCGTTAAAGTGGATTTCACAGGCTAAATCGCCCAGCAGGTAAGGAGGAAAATGTATGCAAATGACCTGGTTTGTTCTTAAGTCAGCTGAAACCTACTCCTATTGGTATACAAACAGCTACAACTCATTGAGGCCTGGTTGCCCCACAATAGCTAGGGGTTTGGAGCTTTGATCCCCATTCTCTCATTTTACTGGTTCAGTGTGTTTAAGTGACATGCCTGGGCCATGAGATGAAATTAGGGGCAAAATCAAGGGTTTGATAAGTATAGATAGATGGAAAAGCCATACCCTACACTGAGGCACTCAACAGTTGAAATCTCTTCAAAATTTAATACACACATTAAAAAAAGATTTTACAGTCACATTAAAGCAGACAGAAGTATGGCAAAGGTTAATAAAGACAAGACTGCAGTGTATTACATTGGGGCTGTTTCATGAAGCATCATCCCATCCCAGGCATCTTCACAGGGGTCCACACCTACATGTTTGTGCTAAAAAGCCAATTCCCCGGCGTCCCTCCCCCTCAAGGGAAGGGAGTCTGGGTCGCTCCACCTTGAACATTTCAGTGTGGCCAGCCCAGAGTAGCGATATTTATGGTTCACACAGCGCCTTTCAAGAAATCAAAACAAACACTCCTCCACCACCCAAACTTCATCCAGGGGTTGAGTACCCAATAAACAAGGTAAGCACGGTCTGACTTGTGCTTACTTACTAATCTGTAGTGAAGCGCTTCATGTTTTTCACCACAAAATTAACTAACTAATTAATTAATTAAACCACGCTTATTGGAGTACGCTGTCGCTGTCAAACCCCACAACAAATTCACTGCCATCGAGTTGATTCAAACTCCCAGCCACCCAGCAGGGCAAGGTGTAACTGCCCCGTGGGTTTCCTAGACTAACTCTTTACAGGAGTAGAAAGCCTCGTCTTTCTCCCGAGGAGCGGCTGGTGGTTTCGAACTGCTGGCCTTGAAGTTAGCAGCCCAACATGGACTGTAAATTTGAAAAGAGGCTTCCATTCTCGTGGAAGGTGTTAGTGGGGTCGGGAGAGAGGCAGAAAGGGCCACGGCTAAGAGCAGGATCTTTGATGTGGTAAACCAGAAGCAAATCTTTCACTACAGATCAGTAAGCTTAAGCACACCTGTGTTTACCTCGCTGATTGGGCAATGTGACACTGACTCCATCCGTGACCTCCGGTGGATCTGAACAATCTAGGGCTCGGCCGAAATGAATGGGTTGAAGGCTCAGAGGAAGGCGACACGCAGCTATCAAACGCAACCCAGGGAGATGCCCGGGGGCGGGGCGGGGCGGGCAGAATTGGGGCCACGTCCCTGGTTCCGGTGCCAAACCCCCTTCTCCCCCCCACCTCCAGGCGCTCCTCAAGACGCGCCCTGGGCAGCCCATCCTCCTCCTCCCCGGCCTCTCCGGCGCTCCTTACCAGCTCCCAGCCCACAGCACTTGCTCCCGCGAC